GGAGGGGGTCACTGCCACTGGAGTGGCCCCTGGAGCTGAGGGGTGTCCCATGGGGAGCTGCCCCCTCCCCCTTTGTCCCCTTTCCCCTGGAAGGGTCCCCCTCCTGACCTGGGGCTCCCTGAGGGCAGGTTGTGGGGCTACCCCCCTCTCCCCACATCCCACCTTGGTGTCATTGCCCTGTCGGGGCAGCGTGGCCAAAATCCCTCCGGGTTCTGGGATCCACCTGGATTCTGGGGGACAGACTGGAACTGCAGACAGACCCCCCGAACTGGGACAGGGCCCCCATCTCCCAGTGTGGACTGACTGGAACCCACCGAAGCCCCCCAGGATGGAGGGAGTTCCCCCCAGCCGGACAACGGCGGTGGCTGCCCAGGACTGGCAGCGTGGGCTCTGGATCCCGTGTCGCCCTCCAGCCGGTCATTCCCGGTCCCTCCCGTGCTGCCCCCACGGAGGGGTGTGTGGGGGCTCCCCCTGACCCGCTGTCCCGCAGGGGGTACTCCCAGGAGGCCGAGGGCAGCTGGTTCCGCTCCCTCTTCGTGCACAAGGTGGATCCGCGCAAGGATGCCCATTCCAACCTGCTCTCCAAGAGGGAGACCAGCAACCTCTACAAGATCCAGTGTGAGTGATCCCAGCGGGCTGGGGGGGCACACAGGGGGGGCTGCCCCCTCCCACCCGGCTCCCCTGCCCTCCTTCCCCCTTTCCCAGCCCCTCTCTCCTCTCCCTGCAGTTCACAACGTGAAGCCGGAATGCCTGGAAACCTACAACAAGCTGACGTGAGCACACGTTGAGGGATATCCCAGTGGGATATTGGGGGACTGCCCAGCATCCCAGTGGGATACTGGGGGGCTGTCCTGGAGCAAAAGGGGTGGGAGGGCTTGTGCAGAGCTCCTCGAGTGCCTGGGTCGATCCATGTCCCTGCTCCCTGCCTTGATCCAAGTTTCCCTGGTTGCCTCCCCCAGAGTGCTGCAGATCCCTCCATGTCCTGGGAGGGCACACAGGGGAGGTTTTTTGGGGTGCTGCCCCCCACCCCACTGCCCCCCCATTGTTCCCCCACAGAGAGGAGGTGCTGCCCAAGCTCCACTCGGACCCCGACTACCCCTGTGACCTGGTGGGCAACTGGAACACCTGGTATGGCGAGCAGGACCAGGCAGGTGAGGGCAGGTGGGCAGCAGCTCCTGGTGCCAAAGGCAGAGAGCTCAGGTGGGATTTTGGGGTGTTTCCCCCCGTTCCCCACTCCCAACCCCTCTCTGCAGTGCACCTGTGGCGCTTCTCGGGCGGGTACCCGGCGCTCATGGACTGCATGAACAAGCTGAGGCAGAACAAGGTA